GGACTAAGAACTGGTGGCCAGGAGCAGACTTGCAGAATGTGCCCTTTGGAGATGTAAATTATTATATATGCCTGAGTGGGTTTTTCTGTTTGTGTGTTTTTTAAAAAAGCTAAAGTGGGTAGAGAGAAAGACTTTTAACTCATGGTATATGGAAAGGATTATAATCAATGTAATGAAACAAGTTATATGAATGGTTGAATGTGAAACTGATGGTATGTCCTGTAAACTTTCACTCAATCCACAATAAAAACCTTAAAAAAAAAAAAAAATGAGATGGAACGTGTGGGACTTGATATCCTAGGTATTAGTGAGTTGGAATGGACTATACTGGCCAGTTGGTATCCAAAAATCATATGGTCTACAATGCAGGAAATGATAAATTGAAGAATGGTGTTGCATTCATTATGAAAAGGAGTATTTCAAAATGTCTCCTGAGGCATAACTCTGCCAGTGATAGATTAATATCCATACGCCTATGAGGAAAACCAGTTAATACAACTATTATTCAAATTTACGCACCAAAGACAAATGCCAAAGATGAAATTGAAGAATTTTACACAATGCTGCAGTCTGAAATTGATCTAACGTGCAAGAAAGATGCACTGATAATTACTGGTGATTGGAATGCACAAGTTGGAAGCATAGAAGAAGGACCAGTAGTTGGAAAATTTGGCCTTGGTGAGAGAAATGATGCTGGAGATCACTTCATAGAATTCAGCAAGAGCAATGACTTATTCATTGCAAATACTTTTTTCCAACAACACAACCGACGGCTCTACACATGGGCCTCACTTGATGGACTCCACAGAGAACAAATTGACTACTTCTGTGGAAAGGCACAATGGAGATTCCTGCTAACATCAGTGAAGACAAAACCAGGGGTCAGCTGCGGAACGGACCATCAATTGCTTGTGTACAAGTTCAAGGTAAACCTGAAGAAAATCAGAGCAAGTCCCTGAGTATCAAAGGGCAACCTTGAATACTTCCTACCTGAATTTAGAGACAATCTAAAGAATAGATGTGGTGCACTGAATACTAATGACTGAATGAAGGTATCATACACAAAGGAAATTAAAGGTCTTTGAAAAGAAGGAAATGAAAGCCACAAAAAGAACATCTTTGGGGAAACAATAGAATTTTTAAAATAGCAGAATTTTAGTACTTATTAGCAGGGATGGGTGGTGGGGTGGGAGGACACAAGGTTTGGAACCCTGGCCTTCTACTAGGGGTTTGAATACCCTGGGAATAGATAGGAGAGTGGGTGGGCAAGACGGTGAATGCAACGCCAACTTTAACATGTGAAGTTTGTTGAAATAGCAAATATTTTGTTATCTATATTAGCGTAGTGGTTACGAATCGGGCTGCGAACCTTAAGGTCAGCGGTTCAAAACTACCAGCTGCTCCGCGGGAGAAAGATGAGGCTTTCTACTCCCGTAAAGATTTACACCCTCGGAAACCCTATACAGTGTCGCTATGGGTCGGAACCGACTCGATAGCACATAACAACAACAACAAATATGTTTACCACAAAAAAACAATTTTTTGTTTGATTTATTAAACTTTTTATTCAGACATAAATAAATAAACAAATAAAATAACTCTCATAACAATCCCCTGGTAAAAGCATGATTCAAGAACTCACAGCATATGAAATATAATTTCTGACTCATTAACTGTATGTGCTTATAGGTTTATAATTTATCCTCGTGCCACTAAAGAAAATAGGGATAGAGAAATTATTTCTTCATGTCAGTTCAAATCTCTCTCTTTGTATTATTTGTCCTTTACCTGAAAGAACCTATTACACACACGAGAACCACAGTTCCTTGCTTATTTTAAATCTGCCTTTTTCATCATGATTTCTCACCTTATAGCACATTACTCCTTGTTCTATCCTCAGTAGAGAAAACAGTAAATTTTCTAAAACAGAAAGTTCACATTCTTTCCTCAAACCATAGCAAACAAGCAAAGGAATGTTCTTGCAACATCATCATCAGTCAGCCCCCACTCAGAGGTATAACAGTAAAATCCAATGCCAATTAAAACTGGAGTGTTTTTGTGTTGCTTTACTTGGTGTCTTGAATTATTTAATGTCTCTTCTTGCCATAGTCTTTGTAAAGGCCCACCAACAATGAGACAGTGGGGGAAGTTGGTGATGGATTATATGATTCATTTGTAAATGATTGTTAACAGGATTGTTTGTGAATACTTGGAAATATAATGAGGGGATTAGTCAATCTTATCATCCTGCTGAGTTAAAAATGAGCAATCTCAAAAGCAGGGAGGAGGTCCAGTAGTGAAGCACATACTCTGAACCCAAGATCACTGTTCATTGAGTATCTTTGACCCAAGAACAAAAAAGCTGTGACACTGGAGGAGTAGCAGAGGAGCAGAAGCAGCAGAACCAAGAGTCAGAATATGAGACAAAACAGTGGATTCTGAGCCCACAGAGCAAATAAAACTGAATGAGTAAGAGGCTTACTTCCAAAGTGGGATGTTTCCAGGCACTTAAAGTTAACTTTGCTAAACAGTGGAGCTAGAGCTCAGTGTCTTCACTCTGAGGATAACGGTAGAGTGGTGTGTTTGAGGGCATTTTTCATGCACCTTAAAAGAGTTTAGTTAACATGACCAGGCAGAGAGAGGCCTGCCTATGTACATAGTTGAGAAGAGGCTCCCCTGACAGGAAAAAAGGGTGTCCTGAACATTTCTGATTCTGAATTGTATAATCTGTTAGCTTCCCTAAAATCCCACAACTGTGTCTGAGTTTTGTGTGGCCATGCTTTTGTTGTTAGGCGCCATCGAGTTGGCACCAACCCATAGCGACCTTATGCACAGCAGCAGAATGAAACACTGCCTGATCCTGGGCCAACCTCACTACTGTTGCCACACTTGAGTCCAATGATGCTGCCACTTGGCCAATCCATCTCGTTGGGGTTCATCCTCTTTTTCTCTCAACCTCCACCTTACAAAACATGGTATCCTTCTCCAGTGACTTTTCCCTCCTTACAATATGTCCAAAGTATGAGAGACAAAGCTTGGTCACCTTGGCCTCTAAGGAGCACTCTGGCTGCACTTCTTCCAAAACGAATCTATTAGTTCTTCTGGCAACCCATGGCACTTTCAATATTCTCCTCCAACACCATAACTCAAAGGCATCAATTGTTCTATGGTCTTCTTTATTCACTGTCCAGCTTTCACGTGCATATGAGGTTATTGAAAATACCATGGCTTGAGTCAGGCACACCTTAGTCCTCAAGCTGATATCTTTGCTCTTCAACACTTTAAAAAGGTCTTGTGCAGCAGATTTGCCTAA